GAGAAGACACATTTTTATTCTTGAAAGAGAAAGCCAGGGCAAGGCTACCGCTCTCCTCATTGTTACCCACAGGCAGGCTGAATGCATCCTGACAGAGAGGTGAGGTGGAGTTTCACATTTCTGCCTCTGTGTCAAGTGTGCAGAAATAAATCCTCTGGAGAGCTGAGGGCGATTGCTCAGAGGCCTGGGAAAGCCCCAGACACACAGTGTAGGAGACATCACTGAACCCAGCAGGATACTTCATAAGTCAGAGTTCTCTCTTCCACCCTCACACAAGAAAGAGCAGAGATCAGCAGAAAAAAGTTGCTGGGTGTGATGTTCCTGCTCTTGCTACAGTACCACAGGAGGTGGGATTTTATCCTGGTTAAAAGGGATCCTGGTGAAAGGATTTATTCACATCTTGTTAGAAAATGCTGCCCCATCCTTCCCCTGCCCCAGGGTACAGACACATAGAGTGGCCACTAGTCCATGTGGACAAGCTCAAAGATGGGGAGGAAAAGTGTTTTTCCTTGATGACTTTCCTCCCAGTAATCTCAGCTGCTATTTGTAGGGGCAGCAGATACTACAGCCTCAGACAAAAGTCTGCTTTTCAAGCAATGATGTCCCTTTTTATAATAAAGGCTGCCAACTCCCAGAAGTGATAGCTCACAAACAATCAGGGAGAGGACAACCCTGATTCAAGAGGAATGCTCTTTGAGGTGCTGTGCAGAATAGATCATGCACTGTACAGCAACAAATCAAATTTAGGGAGAAAGAATTTGGAAACAAATTACCAGCAAGATATTTCAAGCTGACAGCAATTTGGAGCAACTTAGGTCTGTCTGGTAAGAACTGTATTCCTTTTATTTCCCTATCAATAGCAGCTACCTTATAAGATTGGTTTCTTGTTGATAATTCTGTCTGGAACAGAAACTCCTGAGTACACTTAAGTTGATAACTCTCTCTTTGATCACATTTCAGTAGCAATGCTTTTCACCTTGATGATAGAATTTCTCCCTTTGGATGAAGTTTCCATGCCTAAAAAGCCACGTGGATGTGGGCTTTCCAGGCTCAGGGAGCTCTGGTGCACTGCAGACAGTGCTTGGACTTGGGGCTGGGAATGGCAGGGAGATGAGCTTGGGGCAGGAGCTGCAGGGATTGGAGCATCTGCTCTGCCTCAGTTTCCCTAACCCTTCAACAGTATAGAAACTGCTTGTAGGTATTGTCTTTATGGGAAAGGGATAATTAATAACTGACACTTCCTCGGAGATGCTGAAATAAGAAGGATTACGGGTGTTTCTCCACACAGCTTTGCGTGCCTGGAGGAGCAGCGGGGAGCTCTGCATGGCATGTGTGAGTTCAGGGCTTCCCACAGGGAAGGGAACACCAGGAATAGTGCAGCCACAGGCTCCGTGTGCCCCCACTCACCTGGCAAAGGGGGCGGGTGCAGCTCAGGTGCCACGGGGCACGCTGGGGAGGAGGGGCAGTCGGGACTGATCCCACCCTGCACACACACAAAGTGTTTGTCCAGCGCTGGGGACTCATCTCGTGCTGACAGCGGTGCTCAATGTGTTAATTACGGAGGGAGGTCATTAATGTCCATCAGCAGGCGGGGAGGGGACGGGACTCGCAGGGAGGAATGTGTTGGGGGTAGACTGGAATGCAGCAGTGCTGACATGCCCGGAGCAGGAGAGACATAAAAAGAGTGCACTAGCCTGTAATTTCCCTGCAATTTCTCCTCGGGAAGTAATGAAAGTTTATGACTAGTCGTGGCAATGCCCGTGTCTCTCTTCCAGAAAGAGGTAGATAAAAATAGTTTAGAATCACACTGAGAAAAAGAGAAATTTGACATTCCTTTGAAAACCCTTTGTGGTCAAGTGCTCCCAGCCCATTCTGGCCAAGTCCTTAGTAAGAGGGATGCCAGCTGTGGCTGACAGTCCTTTCGGTTGCCCTCATGCAAGCCAGGCCCTGCTCATCTGCTGAGCAGACTGATTGGACTTGTTTAGAAATAAAAATGCAGGGATTTGTGCTGGTTTAGCAAAGCCCTGGCTCCCCTCGGGGGCTGTATCAACCTTGGGTCAGGAGGGCTTTTTCCTCCTGGTTTTCTCCATTGCCCCACTTGCTCCTTGGGGCTGGTTTTGACCTTGCTGAAGCCTTACACGATCCTGCTGAGCTTTCAGGGAACATGCGAGGGTTCGGTGTTCCGGATGCAGGGTAAGGTGCTGTCAGCGTGGGATTCGTTTCCTCCACTGACTTCTACTTTGTATCTAACATTTGGGAACAAATTATCAGGAGGCAGGAAAGCCTCAATCCAATGATGGTACAAATCCATAGTTTAGGTGGTGACCCTTTAACACCCCAAATTAAAATCACCCAGTACTTGTTCTGCACTGCATACCCCCGGGATTACAAAAGCAATTGACAATGTTATTTACTCAAGCGGTGCCTTAGAAACTAAAATCTTTTTGTCTGTTCTCCACAGAGATGAAAAACTCAGTGACGTAACAGAGGCTGCATTTAAAATGAAGAACCTTTTTCCCCTGTGCCCTTGGCTAAGCTCTCACAGTCCCACCTCTACAGGAACCACATTTCTATGGTGCTGTACACTCCTTAGTCTTTACAGCATTTTCGGATCTTTCCAGATGGAAAGTGCCATAGAAATGTAAAATCTTATTAATTAAAGGCTGAAATAGATGCAGTGTGTGGAGGTCAGTGACTCATGCAGGAGGATTCTCAGGCTTCTGCTATGCATTGCCTCGGGGCGCTTTTTTGAATGTTCCCTTCTCCGGGGCTATGACAGTTTATTACACAAAGGCTGTGCAAACCTGGAGGTGAATGCAAACTACTGGGCTAGGAACAGCAACCAGTGAACCCAGTTCATGCTGAGCCTTTTGGGATGGCATAATTGCCCCTCATTACAGTTTCTGCCTGTTCATTTCAGGCAGCACAGGCATGTGCTGTAGTGTGTATGCAGGGGGATGCTGCTCCATGCCGCAGCCCCTCTGCTCCTGGCCATGCTGGCACTATAGATTGCTTCTTTTTTTCTGGAGGGCCCAGGAGCATTTAATAGTGCTGGAAGAGAGTGTTTCACTTAGGATCCAGTGGCTTCTTAACTAGGAACCAGGGCATGTTTCTAGCAGACAGTTTTCCTTGGAGAGGGTGGCAGTGATGGGGAGCACAGCCCTGGCACCAGGAGCATGGTGGTGGCTGTGCTGTAGCTCCCAGAGAACCCGTGCTGACCCCAGAGGCACTGCAGCATCAACTAGGTCTGATCCTCGGCGCCAGGGAGCCCCAGTGTAGCTGCAGGTGTGCTGGTAAATCCCTTCTCCTTCTGACTGAGGCTTATTTCACCAAGGCAGGTGTCATAGTCACAGCTGAGGCTGTGTACCTGCAGTGCCCCCAGAAGTAGCATCTACCAGCATTTCCAGAGTCCACTGCATTCCCCCAGAACACTAGAATTTGATTTCTGGCTGTACACATGCTCATTCCTAGCTGGATATTGCGAGACAATCTTAATTCTTTATGTGTCTGAGCCCTGAAAAGGAATGGTGATGCCTCCCAGCTGCATAGACCTCTGAGATGAGCACTGGAGAGCCCCCAGGAGCTGGTGCCAGACTCTCATTCTGTCACTTTGCTACATTGCTGACTTCATCAGAGCCCCCCTTCTCAAGGGAGGCTGCATTTTGGGGTGACCCCTACAGCAAAGCTCATGGGCTGCGAGTCCGTGCCTTGCTCTTGCCCTTTGCTGGCAGCCCAGGGACAGGAGGTGACAGGGCTGTGCCCGGTGATTGCGGCTTGCAGTCACACAGCTGGTGGCACAGCACGGCTACCCTGGGGCTGTCCCCACCCCTCAGCATATCAGCCTGCAGAGAGCCTCAACCACTGCTAGTTCAACCTGGAGATTCCTTTAGAGTATTTGGAGTTTTTCCTCTCTTGGTTCCTGCTGCCCATTCAACCCCTCCAGCAGGACCTTCAGCTTGCCATTACAATATTCTTTATCTTTTCCTCATTCTTTTATTTCCTTCATTCTCTCATCCCTCTCAATCCCCTCACCACCTCCTGCCCCAGCAGTCCTGTCTTTGAGAGGTGCAATGCTTACTTCTGACAAATAACAAAACAAAACCACTTAAAAAATTCCCTCAAAACAAAATACAAAACCACAGAGACCAAACAAACATTTTGAAATGGAGCACAAATGGATGCATGAAGCAACACTCCCCTTCAGCAACATGGTTACAAAAATAGAAAATCCAGCTCCAGGTGAGGCATATTATTTAGAAGCCATGTTCACTGGGACTGGCAGACAGTGGAGCTCTAGCAGGTGCTACATAAACAAGCCCCTTCCTACACACAGGCAGCCCAGGATTTACAGGAAAATGCAGCTCCCCTGCGGTGGCTACACCCACACGGCATCTCCAGGTGGCCCTGGCCAGGGATTGCCCTTGTGCACACACCGAGGAGCAGGGCCAGGCTGCCAGGAGCGCGCAGCCGCCAGCCCCGCAGCACCTTGGATCGTCCTTACCGCCTGAGACCGGCAGCTTTTGTTGATTCTACACAAAAAACCACCCCGGTGTCGGTGCAGCCACCTCGCCTCTCTCCCTGTCCTCTCCCCTGGCTTACCCTGCGTTCTCACCCAGTGAAAAAGGGCAAGAAAAACATTTTAAAAAACACCGGGAAAATGGGATTACAAAACCACAAACACTGTTACAGGAAGATTTGAGGTCAAGCAGCAGACTTGCAACTCATTTCAGAAAATGCATTAGATTTCAAGCTGCCAATGACATGGACTGGATGGGAGGTGTGAGCTACTGTTGCTGGGTGCCTGTCTGAACTCCCCCTGCATTTTAGTCTTGTTGACAGAGCCCAGTGCTGTGATTCAGAGAGAGCTGTTAATTAAGAGACAAAGTCCAATCTCAAGCTAGCTGGCTCTATTTTTACATAATTTTATGTTTTGTTTGCTGAGCCTTTTAACTCGCTCCACGAACCAACAGAGCTGGCAGCTGATCTCCTACTTTTCCCTTGACTTTTCAGTGGTGCAGTGCAGAACATGTGATTCTCTACAACTCCAGGCCTTCTACTTTTGAATCTGTAGGTTTAAAAAGGACTTTTTTTAAAAATCTGACATTTTGTCCTGAAAGGATGTGAGGCACACAGAACTGCCGAATGTGGAAGGCACCACAGGAGGCCAAGACATGATATTAAAACGAGTAATGAAAGAAAGCAAGCTATTGAAGTGTAAACTCCATTTTTACTGAGAGTAGGCTACAGACAGAAATGAGTAGTTTGGATCCCTGGTGCAATTGACACCAAATATTAATGGTTTGCTATAAGCAGGAAATACAACAAAGTTTAAAAAATCTGTTTTCCATGTCTTTCCATAGGAGAGTCCTGTTGTTAAGGCACTGAGGAACTGCATTTTTTTTTGTTTTAATAACCTGTATCTCAGTCAGTTTCATAATTACAGATCTCACATTCTTTAGACTAATTTCACTCACTGACAAGGCTGGGCTCTTGATCCCTATTTTCTTACTGGATTATAAAACAACAGTAGTTTGCTTACTTCCTTGTCTTGGATCCCTTTCTTGGATTAAACCTGCAGGAAGGAAAAATGCAATCTAATTCCCTGCAGGACACAGTGTTCCTGCAGGAAAGGCTTGTAGGAATATGGCAAACACAGCCCTGCAAATCCCATTGAACCAGGATCTGGAGGAAAGTCACAGTCCTGACCACAGTGTGGTCACCTGCACTGTGACACTAACCTTGGGCCACCCCCTCACTCACTTACATACCTTGAATAAATCTTCCTTGTAGGTTACTCAATCTCTCTATTTTTTGCTTAATAACAAAGAATGGAGTGGCTACATTCAGGTATCAGAACTGCTGGCAAATGAGTCATGAAATGTATTCAATTTATCCAGTGTCTTCACAATCCAGTATAAGTGTAAGTTCTGTGGAGAGATTTGTATTAAAAACCATCTCAAAACACAGCACAGAAAGTCCCAGAGTAATTTGTTGCAGGGTAAAATATCACGCTCTCTCGCAACAGGCTCACTGAGACTTTTCAAAGAAAACTTTGAAACGAATTACCATATAAAGACAAGTTTCTCCACCTGCAGACCTGCCTCTGCAGGTCAAGGTTGGGTTCCCAAATCCTTCCCTTTTCTTAGAGGGGGGTCCTGTGGCCCTGCTTGTACCCCGGGATCTCCTCTCACCTGTAGTCTTGTTATTAGAGACATCTGGATGAAAACAAGGCTTTTCCTAAAAGCAGCAGCTCTCAGGAGGGTGAAAATATCTGGGTTTTCAAAACAAAACACCAATTCACAAACCAGGGGGAACCCACCTATAACTTTCCCTCTGTTTCCTTCAAAGCCCTGCATCTATCACTTCCCCTCTCTGCAAAGACCCTCGGTTAGCTGCTCTTAGGAGGACAAGGCCAGATTTTAAGGTCAAATTTGTTGATTCTACCTCAAAAGTGGCATCCTAAGAGCCTGGGCTGGGGCCGGCCGGTGGAGGGCTGTGAAGGGAGGCTGCCCATCGGCGCAGGGAGCGAGGGCCCGAGGGGAACAGGGAGCTGTGCCAGGCTCCGCTGCGGAGCTGGGCGGTTTTAGGGTGCCCTGCCGGGGTGAGGGGACCCCCCGTCCTGCCCGGATGAGGGGCTCGGGGGTGAGGGGACCCCCCGTCCTGCCCGGGTGAGGGGCTCCGGGCTGCGGGGCTCCGGTCGTGCCCCGTCCCCGCCGTCCCTCACCTGCGGGCGGGCGGCGCCGGCGCCGGAAGAGCCCATTTCCTCCGCGGGACGGGACAAAGCGGCGGGGCCGAGCGCAGCCAGGGCGGCCGCCACCATCCCAGCCCAGCTCTGCCCCGGTAAAGTTGCGGCTCTCGCACTTGGAAACTTTTGGGCGCCGGGCGCGGGCCGCGCTGCCGCGGGGCCGGGGCGGAGGATGGGAGCGGGCCGCGCGTGGGGAGGGAGCCGGGCCCGGCTGGGGAGGCTGTGCTGCCCCGAGCGGCGGGGCCCGCGGCCGGCAGCCCCCGGGGAGCGCCCCGTGCCGTTCGGACCCGCGGTCTGTCCGGGCGGCGCAGCCGGAGCAACTCCCCCCCAGCCCCGGCCGTGCTGCTGATCCCAGACACGCACAGCCGGGAGCACCCCGCGGCCCCGCCTGGCTCCGCCACGTTTTCTGATACCCACCGCTAATCCCCTCCTGTGCTGGAAGGCGAGAGAGCCTCTCCTTCCCTGACAGAAAGTTTCGTGCTACTTTTCCCAAACAAAAAGTAGAGAGAGCGCATCCGCTCCTGGGTGGCGTGCTGTGTCTGCTGCCTGTGGCCTGGGGTCCCCGGGCAGGCACCCGCCTGTTACTCATTGCTCCTACCAGTTCAAAACGCCTAAAATCTTTCAGGCCGAAGTTTGCAGGAAAGTGTGTGTTCAGTTATGTTTAGTGAAGAGTCAGATGCGCTCAAGGCACGGCTCCCTGCCTGTGTCCCTTGGCTGGCCAGCCGTGCCCTGGAGGTGTCTTCTGGCAGGGCCATCGATCGCCCCGCTGGCTGCCAGCCCCGTGACCGCGTCCTCTGCCCAGCTTTCGGCGTTGTGGCTCCAGGCGTGTCTGGACTATCTGTATTGAACTAGTCTGGGAGCTCTTCGCTGCCCTTCCTCCTGTTTTTTGGCTTTGTCTATTGTGTTTTTGGGGTGGGAGTTGTGCACAAGGTGTTTTCTGGGTGCTTCAGTCACTTGTGCTCTGGTTACTGGTTTCCTGTGTTTTTCCTGCACTGGGACTGGGGAGGTGGGAGAGGCTGCACTCAGTCCTGCTGGCTCCACCAGGCTCTCCGGTTGTCTGTTTCAGTTCCTGGGTTGGTTTGTAGGCAGGATTGTGTTGATGAAGGTGAAAGCCTAGCTCATTTTACACTAGGTGCAGCCTTTGCTCTGTCTCGAGGCACCAAGGCCACATTAAGTGTTTTGTTGTACTTATTTCACCCTTCTGAATCGAAACATGTTGTTTAAAAGGACATACTTTGATGTTGAGTCACTGTTCATCATTTTCAAAGAAGCACTTTCTAAAACATCACGGAAATGTTTTGACTTTTCTCAGCAGAAACAGACAAAGGTTTAGTAGGTTTTGTTTTTAGAAAGGCTTTGCCCTAACCTTTTCCATAACAAACAATGTGGCTTCATTCTTTACGTTTTTTTTCAGCCAGCTCTAATAATAGGCCTCTGCATTGGAGATTTAAAGTTTATACAAGGTGGCCGGGGGGAGCGCAGTGGGCAGAGATTAGAAATCCTGTGCTCAAATCGATGCTTTAAAATACAAATGTAAATACTTTCCTCACAATTGATTTTCAGGGTTTGAAACATCAGCATTTCTGTGCTGATATGTGTAAGGACAGACTGTAATGTGCAGCTTCTTCGTAGGGCTTCTGTTGGTCTGATAAATTTAACTGGAAGATGTAATAGAAGAGTAATTTGTGTTTTTTTCAGCAGCATGAATATCTTCTTTCTGCAGCTGTAAGATCCAGAAACTGATCTTGCAAAGGAATCCACATTAAGTAGAAATGTTTATGAGCTGGAAATACACTTTTGTGGGACTTCAGGCCTACTTTGAATTTACATCTGTTGTTAATGTTTGATTTCTAAATGACCTTTCTTATGCAGAGAATTAGTTAATATCACAAAAATCCTCAATGGCCAAACCAGCCTGCTCGTCATAGGTGGGCAGTGAGGCTGCTCTGGAGTGAGGGCCCTCGTTACCGTGGTGCTTCTGTTCAGGACTTGCTGCGTTCTGTTTTACTGGTGTCTCTCAGCTTTGCTGGACACCAAAGGAAACATGATGAATAAAAGAGGACTGAGTGTCATTTTGTTAGAACAGTATCTTATGAGACAGTCACTCATCATAATGATGAGTCACAGACTGGGTTGGGTTGAAAGAGACCTTAAAGCTCTGGTTCCACTCTGCTGCCATGGGCAGGGACACCTTCCTGCCCAAACCCTGCACCTGCTCTGAGCCTTTCCACCCTGGCCTTGAACGCTTCCTGGGATGGGACTTCCTGCTGTTGTGCCTTAACTGACATCACTCAGAAGCCTGTGCTGCTGAACTTCAGTGCTGAAAGTATGATCTTGAGGAATGGGATCTGTTACTGCTCTGGGAATTCACCCGAACTGTTCTACATCCAGTCTGGAATGGCTCCATTCAGTGACTTTGTAGCTCGTGTGTTGGTTAAACAGCATTGCAGCTTTAGAGAAAGTGCAGATGTTTGATAATTACTACTTTTAGCTCCATACTATTTTAATCCAGCAAATGAGATTTAAAATAGAGCTACCACAAAATTGAATGCTAGCACCCTAACTCTATGAGCTCCTCTGGAAAGACAAGCACTGAGAGTGGCCTGCTGCGTCACGAAGCAGAGCTGGCTGCAGATAGATTTACTGAGGTGAAGGAGTTGCAGGAGGAATGAGGTCATTGCAACTGGAAGTGGGATTGTTCTGTTTCAGTGACTGAGACTCCTTATCTGCTAGTCAGGGTGTAACTCTGATTTCTGGTGTGCAGAAGGTTAGTCCAGACTCTTCTGTTGGCAAATCTGATACTTAAATATGATTCATAATTCCTTGTGACTGATGGATTTAAAGAGCTAGCTACCTTTTCTCTCAATATGATTACATATTTTTGCTTGTTAATCCCAGATGTACTACAGAAAACATCTGTTGGTCCTTTAATATGTGTTTATAAATATCTGTGGTGGAATTAGAGGAGTAGCCTTTTTTTCCCCCCTGCTTTGTGAAGTGATAGAAATTATTCAATACACAGATCTAAACTAACACAGTTTGCGAAGTGAAATTCTCCCCCAGTCTGAATTTCCCTTCTGATACAATTTCTCTAATTTACGAGACAGCTACTTGTTAATCAGTTAGACTCCCAAGAGCCTCTTCTGAAATGTTTTCAATTCAGGGATCAGGGCCTGTATCCTGGGCTTATCCGAAGCTCTGTGGGCAGCAGATCAAGGACAGGGATTCTCCACCTCCTCTCAGGTGGGCCCCCACCTGCAGAGCTGCCCCAGCCCTGGCCCAGCACGGGGAGGAGCTGCACCTGCTGGAGCCAGGCCAGAGGAGGCTCCAGGATGAGCAGAGGGATGGAGCAGCTCTGCTGGCAGGAAAGGCTGGCACAGCTGGGAATGTTCACCTGGAGAGGAGAAGCTTTGGGGTGACCTCAGTGTGGCCTTGCAGGGCCTGAAGGAGCCCCAGGAAACATGGAGAGAGACAATTGACAAGGGCTGGAGGGACAGGACACAGGGAATGGCTTCCAGTGCCAGAGGGCAGGGCTGGATGGGATCTTGGGAATTAGGAATTGTTGGCTGGGAGGGTGGGCAGGCCCTGGCACAGGGTGCCCAGAGCAGCTGTGGCTGCCCCTGGATCCCTGGCAGTGTCCAAGGCCAGGCTGGACATTGGAGCTTGGAGCAGCTTGGGCTGGTGGAAGGTGTCCCTGCCCTTGGCAGAGGTGGAATGTGATGAGCTTTAAGATCCCTCCCAGGCCAAACCATTCTCTGATAAACTCAGGGATGGAAAAACCAAACATGAGGCCAGCTATAGCTAGAGGAATAGCCATTACCAAGGCAGAGAGTGGAACAGTGCCCATGAAGCCAAGCTGGAGGCCAGCTGGTTCTCTGGTAGCTCTGTTTTATTGCATGGAGTGGCACAAGGACAGATGGATGTTGATGTTACAGCCCAAGAGTGAGTGAAACTCCTGGTAGTGAAGGGCTTGAAACAGGGAACTGGTGCCAGTGTGCACCAGGATTGCATTGGGCATAATGTGGGATCCTCAGCGTATGGTGTGCTGTTTTTCCCAAAGAACACCCAGTTTCTCAGCAATCAGTGCCTTATTATGGAATAGATCTGCATATGACTGTATATGCTTAAGAAGAATTTCTGTGTGGAGCTGATGTTGAGCAAATGAGGAGTTGATGTGGAGCAAATGAGATTTTGGTGCAAATTAGGGTAGAAGAGGCACATTGGTTCATGCTGTTCTAAAGTAGCCTTCAATAGCTAGTGTAAGGAAGAGGCTAAAACTAATGAGCTTGATAGGTGCTGAAGGATCGGGAGAAGAAAAAAAATGTTTGGTTTTTTTTTACCTGGATATTAACTGAGGGGAGATTGTAGGCCACACAGTTCTGTCATTGCCGTTTTTCAGCAGAAGTCAAGAGGACATTTAGGTAAATACTAAATTTGTGACTTTTCATTTAAGTCGGTAAGGGTCAATGCCATCAGGAACATATGGCCTTGATGGCTTGTGTGGTTATCCGTGCTCTGCCTTCCACTGCTGTTCCCACTTCCTCAAGGGCTCAGTTTCATTCACTTTGTTCTGGGTGCTTGTAGAGGTGATATCTATGCAGATCTAAGGCTCTAGGGGGGAGATTCTTTTTCTATATCTTTCTCTGGTTGATGCAGCCTGAGCACGGGAGATCCACTTAAATAAATGGTCTGCACAAGGGCTACACTAGCGATGTAGCTTTGCGGAGGCACAAAGGTCAGTTGAATTTTTCATGTAAACAGGGCTGAGCTGTGTGCCTATAAAATGGTGTTTAACCTGCA